CACACATACAGAGACAGACAGACAGACAGACAGACAGAGACACACAGACAGAGACAGACAGGCAGACAGAGACACACAGACAGAGACAGACAGACAGCGGCAGACAGACAGACATAGACGGACAGACAGAAACAGACAGACACACAGAGAGACAGACAGAGAGGCCTTTCTGTGTCAAGCTCTTTCTCTCTCTCTCTCTCTGCCTCTGTCTGTCTCTCTCTGGTTCTCTTGCTTGCGTGCGGGGCTTTTGGAGGTATGGGAGTCGCGCCCCCACTCCCCTGCGCCAAAGTGCTACGCCACTGTCCGGGTTTGTCCAAGTCGGCGTGAAACTGCCACTCTCTCTCTCTCGCTCTCGTTCTCTTCTTCTTTTTCCTCAGGGCTTAGGGCGCGTGCGAGACCCCCTGGCCTTTAGACTCTCTCTAAGCACCACGGCTCAGACCGGCTCTACTAACAGAGCTTGTATATACAGGGTCGGGGTGCCTCGGCCATGGATGCTCGTGCTATGTCTTCAACAGCGCCTCCTATCGCTACTCACCTGCAATCCAGCAAGTCTCGAAACAAGATCGGTATTGCCAGCATGGCAGGGTGGAATGCATCTGCAGCAGACCCGGATAGGAAGGCCGACGCCCAAGAAATTAATGCCTGCTTGCAGGGCTCGAAGCAGGTCGGCGGCCCCGCAATGGATACCGAAACACCATCTGCAGCCGAGCACACTGGGCCGCTGGCACCCCAGACCAACCTGGCCCGAGGACCAGGAGCCTTGATTTCCAGTGTGGACATGGACTGTTCTGAGGACACCCAGGACGCAGTTGCCTGCCAGATGCCGCAATATCCGTCATCAGCCTCAGACCAGGATGAGCTGGTTCCTCTGGCGATGTGCAACGCCACTGCCCTTCCACGGAAGCTGCACAGCGCTTCCACAGGCGGTGGACCTGCACGCCATGGACTAAGCTGGGCTGGACTGCCAGGAAGCCGGTCCGGGCAGCACCCGGTCCCAAGTCCGGGGCCCGCCTTTTCTTATCCCTGCATCGCACCTTGAACATGCGGGTCTGTCAGGTTCCGTGCCTCCGGCCTGACAGGAGCAGCACTTCCAGCTGCTTTTGCAACGCGCATCGAAGGAGCGAAGCTGAGGTAGGCGGTCCCAGAGACATTATTCTGTCAATCAGAATGTCGATGCGGCCACAACAGGCCGTGCTGGATTTCCGTTTGAAATTTTTTCACCACTCCTCATCTACAATGCAGCTACAACGAGATCTATATCAACAGTCGCCCATCTGCCGGCACGGCCCTGCTCAGCGGGCAATGACCCCAGTCAAGAGCTTTTTCGGGGGTTACAGTTTTCTGCCCTGCACATGGGGGATTCAGGAAGCGCCTCAGGAGAAGCATGGAATCCCCCTGTGCCCGCCATGCCTGCGGCGCCCAAGCGTCGTGTGCGTCGCAGGCATGCATACGAGGCCTACAGCTCAGGACGACGGATGGGTCCTTGACCAGTGCCGTAAGCGGCTGGGCGTCGATTAGAACCTGCCTCCTGCCTGGGCTCGAGCCGTTTCTCCTCGCGGTTCCAATCCGAAACGTTGAACTCGAGGTCGGAGGTCAGCCATCTGTCAGTCTGAGCCTGCTGCTGGGCTTGTTTGTCAGTTTGGAAGATCTCCAACCGTGTCACCGGCTCTGCCGCCAGGAATTCGGAGGAGCATGACGTTCAGTGAGCGCATCACCATGCTCGGGGATTCGGTTTTGAGCTTCCTCCAATTGTCCGCGCACTCGATCATGAGCGGTGAGGGCCGTCGCTGGTGTTGCTGTTTTTGAAGATAAACACCACCGTATCGTCCAGCTCCTCCCCCTCCACTTCCGCGGTAGAGGTGGCGATGGCCGCCTGGAGCGCTTGTCTTTCTCTCCAGCTTGCCCTTCGCACGACGCCGGGCGTCATCCTGCCTGACCCTATGTCGTGTGCCACGTCTTGCCATACGGATAGAGCTCCTGCTGCTGACACAGCTGTATGATGGAGTGTAAGGGATTTACCAAGTACATATGCCAATACAGAGGTGTAGCCCGGTAAATTCCAATGCAAGCTAACGCTGAACCTGGGGCTGCCGGAATTGGGCCCGTGCAGGCTTCAGGCACTGGCCCCGGCACAGCTGCTGCACGCGGAGGCGGTCCATGACACATGCACCTGCTGATATCACCAAACACCGCAATCCTCGCCACTGGTGACTAAGGCACAGGGGGTTCGTAGTCCCGTATGTGCTTGTCCGGGTTGTCGAGGCAGTGGTGTAAGCCTGTGTCAGCCAGGATCACCAGAGAGCACGTGCAATTAAGAACAGAAAACCAATGGCAATGGCCTAGGTCTGCTGCACGGTGAACACATGAGGGCTGCCCAAGTAGCCGAGTTTCTCTGGTAAAGCAGGCCCGCTCAAAGGACTTGATTTTCTCGCAGCTCCAATAGTTCGACCTATTTCTGCCTTGGCACAAAAATCTGAAGTGGGTGTCCCGCAAGCGTAACATCGCCCGAGCTTGAGTGAGGGGCGCTTATGGGCTCCATTTTGGCATATGCCTTTGTTGCGATTCGACTTGGGTTTCGGTGCCCCTGACGGACCGCGACGACAGGCTCGATGCTTCGCTGCCACTCCTCGTCACTCGTCCAGGTCGCCGCCTCGCCTATCATTGGGCCGTCCATGTGGCCTGTGGTTGAGTTGGGCTGCGATACAGGACACCTTGTTCAGAGCCATGTAACTCGCAGTGCCGCTACGGCAGACAGGATTTGAAATAGACCTGTGGCAGGGGCACAAGAGAAACGTCGAGGCGCTGAGAGATCTTTTGCGGCAACCTGATGGCCGTCAACCTGTATCCGGACAGCAAGTACACATAAATGAAGTGCAAGAGCGTGCCTACTGGCATGCCATCAGCCCACGCAAATCGCTCTTTCCAATCGCTTTAATAGTGGGTGCAGGTCCTGGGCCTCCTGCACGTCGGCGAGGAGAACAACTGTAATGCATGCTGCGGAGATGACCTCAGCGCTGGAACGGGTCCGCCTAGGGCAGCCAAGCGTGCGGACTCCGTCCTCTCCCACGGTGCGTGGACTGCCTGAGCCTCACCTTCCAGAGAGGTCCGGCACCCTGCCAGAAGCGGATGCGGATGCAGCCATAACTTGCCCTGATTCCTCCACCACCTAATGATATTGCTGCACTGGCATGTGTGTGCTGGGCATGACGGCCTTTTTGAAGGGGCGGAGAGGCGACTCCCAGCACGCTCAGCACAGTACTCGAACAGTGGTTGGGGTGGTGGAGGTCCGCGTGGACGCCCGTGTTCATGGAAGCGTGCGAGGAGGAACTCGACCGAGAGCGCAGAGGCGAAGGAGCCTGGTGCCGGCGACGCCGCACACGAGGGTGCCATGATTCTCCAGAGGAGTCGCCCATAATGTGATGGGGACCTGAGGGTCCTCCGGCAGCACTTCTTGCACCGGCGGCTCTACTTTGCATGAGGCAAAGCCCCAGATCGGCCTCCCTGTCTGCGGGGCCGCTGAGCAGGGCATGCTGCTTGAGACGACGTTGGACTTGAGCAGATAAGCCATCTTATGCGAAATCCAGCGCGGCGTGCTGTGGCCGCTTTGACGTCCTGACTGACGCAACAGTATCTCTGTGATAGCGTACTACCTCGATGCTTCGCGTCTGTAGCACGTGTCGCAAAAGGAACCAGCATCCTCATGAGAAGCTGACAGTCAGCAGCACTGCATTCCATCCCATAAGCAGCGCACTAACCAGGAGTCCTGAAGCAACAGAGTCGGCAGTGCAGGTTCCCCAGATCGGGGCCGATGTGCTTGGCATGTGGCCTATAGTCCACCTGTGTCGGTGGCTCAGCTGAGATCTCGGCGCCCTCGTATGCCTCGTCAAACTTGCGCTGGGCGTTTTGCATGGCCAGGCTGGTCAATTCAACATGAGCAGGGGTGTCTGTGCCGGCGACGTTTTGCCCTACCATGAATCTGCTCCAGCATGTGACATTCGGCCGCAGTGTCTGCTGATCTGCTGAGCAATCCATTTCTGCACGCGATGACTCGGTGCCTGGATGCGAGCCTGCTGCGATCTCTGATGTGGCCTCGCATGGGTCAGCAGTGGCGGTCGGCCGGTGTCAGGCGATCGTCCTTCCAGCCAGGCACTATCAATTCTGTTTGTGATGGATCTTCTGACAATGCAGGCTCCGAGATTTGTGTGGTCTCGTGAATCTCCCGTCTGCCAACCACACGATTCAGGAGACAAACCCAGAGCAGCAGGTAAGGTCACCGCGTCATCCATGGCATGCGGCCCCGATCGCTTTGCACAAGCTCTGCTAGGAGCCGATTCGAGCCGTGGTGTCGGGGAGAGGGGAGAAGGAGAGGGAGAGGCGGAGACAGAGAGAGACCGAGCCTCGTACGCCCTCAAGCTTCGAGCCCAACCCTGGCTATTTCAATTCAGAACTAAGGCGGCAGCCCCGGCGCAAAGGTGCGCAACTGCTCATAGATTCCCTCAACATCCGTCGGAAGAAGCCGGATCAAAGCCGTCAGGTTCATCTGGCGCAGTGTCCTAATGAACGGGTAGATGCAGCGAATCAAACTGGTCGTGAACTCTGACTCTTACATCGTAAATCTTAAACCCAATGACAGAAGAAACAAGGATAGGACCTAGCGGACTTAGCAGTTTCTGCCAGCAGGAAAGCATGCTCAAGATTGCTCGACGCTACTTCTTCAGCTTGCACAGCTCCTTCCAAGAAATGCTCTCATCAGACTTTCCAGAGGCCTCGCCACAAAACTTGTCCTGCAAGGTCCTGATGAAGTGCTCGGCACGTTCTTGCAGTCCTGCAGCACGGGCCTGTTCCCTGATATGCGGTATCAGCAGACGGAGCAGCTCTTGCTCTGTCATGCGTTGAACTCGGGCCCTTTGCATCTGGTCAAGTTTCGGCATCGGAGAGTGCTGGGAGTGGTGACAGAACTGGCACAAAGCGCCCTGCTTGCAGATGCTTCCCTTCAGCAAGTACACGCAAGGACGGTGGCACAACACTGGGTGACCCAAACTCCCAAAGCTCTTGGCATTCTGGGAAACCGCTTCGGGCGGAGGAAAGTCTGCCAAGACAGCTTTCAATGCGCTGTCCGATCGGGGACGGGTCATCCTGGCCTCGGATCTACCTGACGGCTTGGGACGTAAAACGCTGCGTCGCGGGGGCTCCATAAACCCAGACTCTCGGCAGGTCACGATGAAACACAAGCTGTCTAGGAGTCTAGACTGAATCTGCGGATATGGCAAGCCACCCGTGGGCTGTCGTCCCACAGCGTCAGCGGCCGTGCGCGGCCGATCAGCGCATCCTCCAGGCGGCGCCTTGGGATGGCCGAGCCGAGTCTAAGGCTTAGGCAAGTCGTTGAAGCTGCATTCAGCCGCCATGGCACTGTTGAGCAGTCAGCGACTCCAGCAGGTCTACCTTGCGGTCCTCCGCCACAAGCTGGCCTGGACAGAAGTAGGCAGAACTGGCAATGTGTTCGAGGATGAAAGCACTTCCGTGCGAGATCGATGAGATCGAGACCCCGTGCACAACGGCTACAGCTCCGACGAGGTCGCCTGAAAGGATCTGGTAGCTCTCGGCAGTGAGCAGGACAGTCCTGAATTCGTGTGCTACTCCCAAAACGCGTTGCAGGAGACGTGCAGGGGACTTCGGGCGTTATTACCCATCTTAGTCTGCACCGCACCACGCCAAAACCTGAACCTGCTGACCAGTGTCACACCAGTTGTGTGCTTCACGATGCGCGAGAAGTCCATGCACTGTCCTTGGACTTGGAACTCTTCTGGGAGCAAACTCCTCTCTGCACCGCCCTTTCCTCAGAAAGCCCGACCCGCAAAGGCCGTCAAAACCCGCAGGCCAGAACCGAAAGGAATGCGGATGCAAGAACAGTACTTTCAGCTTCAGCCAAGAGGGCGGAGGAGCCTCAAGTCGTCGATGTCCTGGCGTGTGGACTTCGCTGTTGAGCTGGCAAGCCAAAAAAACCAGGGGCTTCGGGATGCGCAGCAGCCTTGCCCACTCCACACCAACACACCAACTTGGAGCACAAAAGGCAAGAGCATCAAGAGCACGAACCGAAGTCCTTCTAGCTTCAGTTCCCCAGCCCCAACCTTGGCCATGGTTGCCAGCGAGGAGATGTCTACTGTGACGGTAGAGGAGCCGTCCTGTCACACTCAAAGCAGGGTTCGAGTTCAACATTGCACGCATGTGCCAAGACATGGGAGTGCATCCGCCAGGCCTGGTTCAGGCAGCGGTGATTCATCAGCTTCGCGAAGAGCTCTACCAGAAACTGAAGCCCGCGCCCTGGGAATAGTTCTTCTCCCTTGTCTTCCGTTGGACTAAAGGCGAACCTTCCCAGGGCTAGTGCACACCTGCTTGTTGTAGGGCTCGGCTGGCGGAAGACAGAAATTTCAATTTCGGCTTTCCCAAATCGCTCGGGCAACTTCGCTGGCATTTACGAGAAGGATCCCGAGCAACAATGTGATCTCTGCAAGTGCACCACATGACTCTCCTATAGGTGCGGAGCCCACTGCAAGCTTAAACGCCGAGATGGAATGCAGGGCAGAGTGCGCAAGCCGAGGCCCTGGTTGGCCATGGCGTTGGTCAAGAAGAGAGGCAAATACTGGAAGATGAAGGCCTGGCGGCGTTCGTGCCATGTTCTCGGTTTGACTCGGTTTGGGCTTTACAAGTAGAGGGTAGGGTAGAACGAGGGGGTCCACACGCATCCCTTCATGCACGCTTACATCATCCTGCATCCAAGCCAGGCATGCGTACACATACACCAGCCAAAAGCAGAGAGAGAGAGAGAGGGCAGTGTGAAAAACCGCCAAAACAGATCAGATAGAAATTGAATCGCATGCGCACAGTTTCGTAGCTATGATGATAGAGGCTTTTGCTTGTGCGACTTGTATGGTGCTAAATGCAATTCTGTGAAGCCACACAACTTTGCGGCTGCTGTTTAGCAAGTTGCTTGCAGGGCTGCACAAATGGCTGCCTGGCTGCCTGTTGGTGTGGTTCGCACTGCTTGCGTACATATTAAGCAAGGGCCTTGCCTTGATGCTTCCAGACATGTATGTTATCATGCATGGATGTATGTATGAATGTACGTACGTGTGGTGTGTGTGTGTGTATCTATATGTATATGCACAGGCATAGACATACACATAAAAATACACATACACATCCATATACATTTACTTACACGGATACGTATACGTGCACGGTATACATGTACATTTACAAGTGTACGTATATATATATATATATGTGTGTGTGTGTGTTTATGCACATTTACAGTTTCACAAACACACACAAACACACACACACACACACGCACACACACACACGCACACACACAAACACGCACTTGTGGGATTTCGGCAAGAGCAATAGGCAAGCAGAGAAGAGGGGTGAGGCGGGGTTGTTGTTGACTGTCATTCGAGCTGGCTGCAGATACTATGCATGTACAGCGACGATATGACAAGATATCACCATGCACAGCTTGTATGAGTAGGATGTCAAAACCTTCATTGCAGGTACATTCCCAGGACGTCTCCCGAGAATAACTGTAGGAGTGACCCTCTTTTCCCATGTGCTAAGGAAGTTCTCACACACACACACACAAATCGCGCATGTGTGGGTGTCTGTGTACATATATATATATGTATGTATGTATGTATGTATGTATGTATGTATATATATATATGAGCCCGATACCTTCAGGTTCTACTTAACCACGGTCTCATATTTACAATACTACAATACTAAATGCTTAGCAAGATAGTATGTGGCTACCGGGCTAAGCGGTACATTGCACAAACCGAAATCCAAAAAGTTTTGGACCAACAGTGATATATTGTTGAATATCGAAATACCAATTCTTTCAGAAGCTTGGCCTAGTGAACGGCATCCATACTTGAGGTGCCAGATATCTTATATGACATCCCGTTCGTTACCTTTCATGTAACCGGAAATGGATTGTTAGCAACAGGAATATATGGTCATTTAGTTAGTTTAATGATTTAAAGACTTTTGGCTACGAAATAACCAAAACACTTAAGCAATTAAAAATCGTTTCTATTACATGTATTTGCAGTAAATTAATCACTTTAATCACTGGACTCCTGATTTACATGTTCAAATACTACTACTTTAATTACTTTAATTATTCTAAAGGTTTGGGCTCCTTTTTTTATCTAAAATCATGAAAACAATTGTTAAAATCCCTCGCGTCGCCTAGGGATTTCCTATTCATTGACGAATAAAAAAAGTAAAAACAAATTGAAACAATTATAAAGCAATTAAAATGCTCAGTGATTTGATTAGCGTAATTATTTCGAAACTTTTGGCTGCTAAATAATTACGAACTAAAACAAGTAAAATCGTGCTCATTTTGATTATTGTTTCTAGTTTAATAATTCTAATCGCTGGGTTTCTGATTTGTATAATAAAGTACTATAATTCTGTTTTGATTGCTTTTAAGATTTGCATGGGCTCTCAAATACGTAAAATAAGTTAAACAAATAAAATCCCTGGCTTCGTCTAGGGATTTTCCCTTTCAATTAAGCAAAATAGTTGAAACAAATATAAGACAATTAAAATAGTCAGAAATTTACTTAATGTAATTATTTTGAAAATGGCCACTAAATAATTAAAACAATTCAATCAATTGGAACCGTGTTCATTTTAATAATTGTAACTATTTTAATAATATAATCGCTGGGTTTCTGGTTTGTATCATAAAGTACGATTACACTAAATGTTTTCATTGTTTTTAAGATTTGCATGGGCTCTTAAATAATTACAATAAATCAAACAATTAGACTCCCTGGCTTCGTCTAGGGATTTCCCTTTCTTTAAAAAATGACAATAGCCAGAATAAACAAAATTCGGATCTTAAGTGTTGTATATTTTACTCATGTAGATTATTTAAATCGCTGTGTTTCTGACTTCGTACAATAAAATACTAGTATTTTTGTTTTGAAATATCAGTTCAAAGTTCCAAAATGTTTAATTATTCAATATAATGAAACTAACCGCAATAAACAAAGTAGTTAAAAAGTTAACACGCTTAAAAAAAAATATATATATATATACATGTATAGTCATTAAAGCAGTTAAAGTTACTAAAATTATTGAAATAATGAAAATAATTGAAATAATTGAACAATTCGAAACATAAAATAAGTACAGTACTTAAAACAATTAGAACCCCTGTACTTATACTCACGTTATTTAAATTATCTAAAAGAGGTTTATTATTTCAAACATTACTACCTATATTAACGAAATAAAGGCGTTAAACAGACCCTAAAGGGTCCTCTCTCACAGTATACATACATATATATATATTCATTCATATTTATTTATTTTTTATATACATACATACATACATACATACATACATTCATTCATTCATTCATACATGCATACAATTGGCTGTAGACACCTAGTTGGATGCGCGGGTACGCAGGCACTGTCATGAAACGCATGTGCACTGATCCGGTTTGCCCTTCATGGACGCCATGCGGTTCATCGCCAAAGGGGGGCCTACGTAGGCATGCTGGTTGTGCTAGCCTGCAATGCATGAAGATTTTCGGAGATGTGCGCCTTGTCATAGTGGCCGTCTGACAGGAAGATCTCTGAAAGAGCATCCTGGGAATGCAAGCGAGTTTCTTCGCTCGTGCCTTGCTGTACGTTTAAAGGCCCCGAAGTTCGCCATTTCCAACAGTGTCTCTCCGCCTCTCTCTCGGCTCCGACTCGACACTGAAACTACGCATCTTTGGGGCGAGTGCATGTGCACGGCCGCGTTTGGCACTCTTCGCGACAGAATCCTGCTGAAGTTTCTCAGCTGAATTAGCTGAACACGCCGAGTCTCCCTTTCCGAATCTGTCAGATGATCCCAGTCACCTTGCGTTTGCAGGGCTGGTCTGTGAATTATTGCTTTGCAGACATGCAGATGTGTTGCACAAAGTAGCACAGCATAGCGCGAGGGCGGCTATGGGGCAAGGCCTGGCACAATCAAGCCTTCCCAACCCAACCAACCCTGAGCGGAAGATGCGGCTGGGGCGGGGCTTCTCTCAACACAAAACAAAACTTGCAATCCAGGATGCTTGCGATAGCCCGGAGTGCCGCAGGCTCCACGGTGCCTCAAGGCTGTTTGACAGCAAGTCTTTGGGGCGAGATAGCAGCTGGATACGGGCGATAGAACCCTCTGCAAACCTGCCAGGTCGGAAAGCCTGGTTAAAAACCCTTCCTGAACAATCGCCAAGGCACGTGTGAGGCATGCGAGTCTGGCCAGCACCAAATGGCTCGGTGTCTGCACATGGAGCTCCTGCACTCTGGGTAGAAGGAGACTTCCGTCCGGTTGGGAGGAAGCTTGGAGTTCGCCCATCCGCAATTCCGACTGCAAAGCTCATCCACGAGGCTCCAGAGCTTCAGCACGGCTGGCAATGTAGCTCCAGTACACTTTGTTCGGATCCACGCCCTTGGATGCACGGTAAGTCTTGGCAGTTTCGGTTTTAGTAGGGTCACACTTGACGGCTCTGTATCTTGAGATTTCCCGCTCATGACACACGACAACTTGCAGATCGAGGCACCAAGATGTCCTGCAGACACGCAAGGCCTGGCTTGGGCGGAGCTGAATCAATTGATTTTGGTCGTGATGTGATGCTCTTCACCCACCCAAATGAGCTTCGCTGGCGTGTCACAAGCCTCTCCAGTCTCCAGCGGGACACTGTCGTGAGCACGCACCCACCATCTTCATACTGCTAGCTCCACGCGATGTTAGGGCGTTGCTTTCTGAAGTTTTCGGGTGGAGATCTTTTTTGGCCTTTTTTTTTTTGGGCCTTTTTTTTTTGGGGGTGCCTGGCTTCTCTTCTTTCCTAGGAACAGGGGGGCAGGGACATGGGGCTGGGGATGCGCCCAGGGGCTGCGGGGTGGAGACCCGGGGGCCTGGGCTGGGTTCCCAACCTGGTAACGCATCTACACATCTCTACATCTATACATATCTGTGTATATACATATATACACATAGCTACATATAGACATACAT